TGTTTTGAGGATTAAATATAACTAGATAGCATAGAAACTGCTCTGTACACAATATGTGCTCAATAAGTGACAGCAGCTGTTTTGTTAGGGTATGTTTAGAAGGGTTGAGGTACAACCCTTAGCCATTTACAGTTGGAAAGCGTATAATCAGCCACTTTCATGACTGAAAAAGAGGGACTTGGACAACGATCAGAGAAAGCGCTTATTGTACACAAAGAAACAAAGCACTGTTACCATGATCTGTCTGCAGTAAGACGGCACCAGGCCCTCCTCTGTGATGTAATGTCATGGGACTTGACTTGTGGGGGGCGATGGAAGGAGGGAGTACAGTGAAGCCTTCAAGGAGTGACTCCTCCTCCCCACACCGGTAGAGAGGAAAGTTTTCCCAGGTGGTATCCTTGTGTGAGAGCCTGTAGGCTTTAGCACTTCAGGAAGTTTCCATTGTACTGTGATTTTACAGTGTAGGTTTCCCCCTTTATGGTAGAATATCCTGAAGCTTTAGGTTTAATGTTGTCATACTACAAAGTAAGACTGCTATCTGTTGATCAGGATACCCTGAGGACAGACCCTATCCATTTCTGCTTAAATGCCTACTGGATTCAGCTGAGATATAAACCTTGGAGTGCCTACCATGTGCCAGGTGCTGAAAATACAAAGAGGATCTGATAAGTTTCCATCCCAGGAGGGGCTGGCAGAGAGGGTGGATAACTGATAACTCTTAACAGTGGGTGCAGAGTGTTGAGTGATGTAACAGAGCTAGGAATAAGTGCTGTGTAGGGTACTGAGAAGAGAAGAATTCATTTTTCTAGGGAAGTTAGGGGAAACTCCTTCGAAGAAATCGCATTTGATCTGATCTTTGGACTGATTCATCAAGCAAAGGGCTTTGAGATGGAATGAGGAAAGAACAGAGAGGTAGAAAAGGGGGATAAAGGAGAAAACAACATTCCAAGTGAAAGAAACTGCAGGGACAAAAGTATGAGGCAATAGGCATATTCATTCATTTGCTTGGCTATTTATTCAACAAACAGATATTGGTTGAGTGCCAGACACTATTCTTAGCGCTGGGGTTACATCAGGAAGCAAGATAGACAACGTTCCTGATGCTCTCCTGGAGTTTACACTTTAGAGCTGGATGGGACTGAAAGCAAATAAACATATGAACAAGGTAATTTCAGAGAGCGATATGTGTTGTGAAGAAAGTAAGTTGGGAGAAGGTAAGATAGAGAGTACCCTGGCACTGGTTGTGGGGGGGGGGTATGTAAGATTGGGTAGTCAGAGGGGGTGTTCCCTGGAGGGGGCATTTGACCTGAGAACCAAGTGTCGAGGAGGCAGCCTTCTGGGTGCAAAGTGTCCCAGACGGAGGGAACAACAAATACAAACTCTGTAACAGGACTCGGCCTGGTGTATTTCAGGAACAGGCAGCCATCTTGACTGGAACAGTGTGAACAAAAGAGTGATAGGGGAAGACCAGAGAGGGGCAGGCCTGGTTAGCAGGGCCCTGTGGCCATCGTAAGGAGGTTGTTACGAAGAAGGACCATCTGGCTGCTGTGTAGAGAATGGATTGGAAGCAGGGAGATTAGTTGGGAGGCTGTTGTTTACTCTAGGCAAGAGATGTTGGTCTCCAACCAGGGAGGCAGCAGCAGAGACAGACGCGTTCGGAGTCTATATATGTATTTTGAAGTAGAGCTGATAGGACCTGCTGATGGATGGGTGTAGGGGTGAGGATAAGAAAGATGTAATCATATCGAATGTTACGAGAGGTCAAGTAAAATGAACACATAAAAGTGACCTTGTTCATGGTAGAAGTGACATCTATCTGGGAACAGTGGGAATATGAGATTGGATAGAGAGGATGCTGGAAAAGAATGTCTGTGAATGCTTTGGGAATGAATGAATCTGGCCTTACACAGAGGAGACAAGGTTACTGGGCCATTGACAAAGCCAGGCCCATAACCTGCCTGTGAGGCCAGGAATGTCTAAATTTTACTGCCAAGGGTTTTTTAAAGGGCCCCTTTGGCTACATCTGAACAAATTTATTTACATCTCTCCCTACATCTCTTCATCTCTTCATCTCTCTCTCTCTCTCTCTCTCTCTCTTTCTCTCTCTCTCTCTCTCTCTCTCTTTTTCTGGACAGGATAAATGTCTATTCTCACACACTCTCCATTGGCCTCAGCTTTTCTCTTCTCAGTAGATTCTTTAGAATGTGTACTGTCTGTCATCCAAGTCAAGCAGGAAATTTTGCACATAATAGGCCCTGAGTAAAAGTGTACTGAGGGGCAGTTAGAGGTGCCAGCTTTCAGAGAGGAAGAGAAGTTGTTTTTTACTACTTTGTTTCACTTCTACCTTCTGGCTTAACAACTCACAATGCTTGGCTCTTTTGACTGGGAGGAAGGATGATTAGGCTTATTAAATATATTATTTTTTGTTGGCTGGCTGGCTCATTCTATTGTCTCCTGGTCCTACAGTCTGATTACCTCTTTCAGTCGCCTGCATACACACACCAGACCTGCAGGGGTCCTCAATCTCCCTCTGAACCACTGCACAGGGCTTGTCCTCCTTAGCTAGCATTATCTTTTATTTAAACAGAAACAGTAGCCACCAATCTTGTTACATAACATACCAATATCCTAGGGTGTTAAACTAATGTAGAACCTGCTGTTGGGGAGTAGTAATCTGTCAACACAAATATTTGCTAGAAGTGTGGGAATGGAGTCAATGGAATTGTAATAGATATGTATGATATCTGGGGTAGAGGGGGGCAGTGGATGGGGGGAGGGGGGTTGTCACTTTGTGAGGGGTGAAAAGGATAACTATTGCATTGTTTTGTACACCTGAACCTGATGATAATAATAATAAAAATAAATAGAAAAAAATATTCACTAGGAGAATATTACAGAAATATTGACTTTCTGGCCCTAGAACTTTGAATTTTGGAGCTGGAAGGGACTTTAGAGATCATCCTATTTTAGTTTTCTTTCTTTTAAACTGTGCAAAGCAATGCCCTGAGAGAAAAAGAGATTTGCTCAAGAGGCAGATCAAGGGCTAGAAATCAAGCTCTTGATAATCTAGAGAATCCATCACATCTTAGATTATGGATTAAGTGTTAAATCTTTCTTGTTCATGATTCTTTCTTATCTCAAAAGCCTTTTTTTTTGTTTTTTTTCCCGGATTTAGACTTCAAAGTTTGTCAATTGTGAACAGTGACATGGTGCTCCTGCTCTCACTGAAACACCAAATTTGAAACTGATACATATATAGAATACTGATGTATTTGAGGCAGTTTGGGCAGGGGTGGAGGTTGCGAACATTTTACTAACTGGATTAGGACTGGATTCACATCCAACCATGCAATGTATAGTAATTGAATATAATTTGAATGCAGTGTATGTTAACTGAATCAAATATATTTGAAAAGACAGCTCGGTGGAGTTGTGGGGGTGGGGTGGGTGTAGTTTGAGCCACCCGATCCACCCCAGTACTATTCTGTTGCTGGTCTCTGAGGATTTGCAGGAACCTCAGTGACCAAGAGAAAAGGCTAGGCTGCGCTCTTCCCTTGACCCCTGCCAGCATTCTTTTCTCAAACAGACCTGTTTTCCTGCTGGGAGAATGCCCCGCTCCACCCACCTGGTGCCTCCCTGAATTTCCTGACTGCCCAGGGCTTATTTTTTAACCTTCTGTTCCTTGAAAAGCACCACCCCACTGACCCAGAACGTGGGCTCCTCCCCTCTGGTCACTGACCAACCTACTCTCCTGGGCTTACCATCTTCATCTCCCTCTAAAAGCCTTGGGAAATCAGCAGTAATAGGGAGCTGAGCGCCATCCAATTTCCCCTAAGGTCTCTTTCCTCCTTTTAACTGGCTAAAATTACTAGCAGAGCAAAGAGGGGAAATGCCTTGCTCCTGAGTAGGGCCTGGCTATTCTACTAAAATCAACTGCCCCAGGTCCTGAAGGCCTCCTCAGGTAACTTAGCCTCTGGGTTAGGGATGGCTAAGGTGTAAGGAGGGAGTGACTATCTTGGCCCTCTAAGAAGAAGCAACATAAAGCCTCCTCTCTCTTTACCCCAGGTTCTGGGAATCCCTGTCTTGACCTGGGGACAAACCCCAAACCCAAATAAACAGTTCCTTCACAGGCGCTGAGAGCCCACCCATGCTCCTCAACCTTTCCTCCTGTTCCTCCGGGCGGTCGCCCTGCTTAGGCAGGCTTCGCCGCCTGAGCCTCGCGGGGCCAGACCCGTCACTTTCTGCACTCCCCGCACCCATGCCCGGCCAGGGCAGAGGGGTGGGGGGTGGGAGGTAGGGGAAGCAGGGGGCGGAGTTCCGTCCTTCGCTGATTGGCTCGGTGCGGATGGGCTGCGGCCGTGCCGAGCCAACCCGCGGCGTGTTGCTATGTGCTGAGCCGAGGGGATAGGCGCGGGGGCGCGTCCGTCACAGGGCAGCCCCCTGCCCCGACCCGGAGGGATGCGGAGTGGCGGCGGCGGGAGTGGCGGAGACTGTGGCTTTAAGAGCGCACCCGGAGCTCGGGATCCAGCCTGGCGGTCCTTTGCTGCTGCGAACCCCAGCGGAGCCGAGCCCGGCGCTGGCCGGACTGGGCAGCTTCCTGCCAGGTAAGCAAACCCAAGCGCGCGGGTAGGGCGCGCGTGGGCGTGGGGCGCGCTGTCAGTGCGGGTGCCCGGCACTGGGCTCCGATCCCGTGGCCCCTCCGGCTTAATCCCTTTGAGCGCAGCGCCCTGTGCCTCACGCGGCCCAGGCGGGGGTCAAGCGTGGGGTCCCCAAGGGGGCTGCGGGCGCAGGGGGCGGGGGGCGGGGAGCAGGCCGCTGGGGCCACGTGACTGGTTTGTTTACAAACACAGCCGGGGCCCGGTGGCTGCCCGCAGAGGGAGCGGAGGTGCAGTGGGTCCCCGGGTCCAGGGTGGGGACCTGTTGGAGGAGTCAGGCAAGTCTGGGATGCGCGATTTGGCGCAGGGGACCTCCGATCGCTGCTTCTTCCTTAGCATAGTTACCGTGGGTTTGGAGGCTAGGGGGGCCAGGGTGGCGGCTGCGGAAGTTTTCTGTCCTGGTGACGCTGGGTGTCTGCTTGCAGACACTGGGTCCGGGTGCGTCGCCCTCGGGGCTCCCGCCTATGGGAGACTGGCCGCTTTCGAAACTCCCCGGAGCCCTCCTGGGCCGAGGTGACCGCAGCCGAGTTCCTGCCTGGCCGCTTCCCGGAGCCTCCCCAGTGTCTTTGCCAAGGGGGTGGGCGCGAGTTCGCTCTTGCCCGACGGAATGTCGGGGCCTCGCCTGTGAGTACCTCTCGGTAACTGACGCCGAGGGGCAGCCCCCGCCTCTCCCTGCTTCAAGTTCACCCTCCTTGGCCGCTGACCTCTTCTTAGGTGTCTTTATCCTAGTGGTGGCTTTTCTCCCGTTGGGGGATGGGGAGAACCACCTGTTCTTTTTGACCCAGCCCAGGAGACTGCCATCTCTGACTTCACCCTCATCTTGTAAGCTGTTAAAAAGCTAAGTGAGTTAGTGTCCTCCGTTTTTCTCTGTTCTGCATGTAACTGACCTCCCACACCTGCGAGGCTGTGAATGGCACCCGAAACTGCTCCTGGGTTTTGTTGGGGTTTTCACTTTCTGGCCTCCTGGTCAGTTTGCGCTCCTGAAGTCTTGAGGCTCTTCTCAGTGAGTCTGTGTTTTGGGTGAGTCTAAAGGCCAACAAGACAGCTAGCCACTCGACCTTTTTCCTTGCCCTTCCTCCCCTGGGTTCCTCTCTTCTGGTCCAACAAGATGTGCAACATGGGTCTCCCTGTCCTAGAGTACTGGCCAAGAAGGGAAACTGTCTGCTCCCCTTCACCCCTCTTGCTCACAGAACATTAGTGGTGCAGAGAACCCAGGGGTTGAGAAGTTAAGCGACTTGCCCAAGGGGATTCATGTCACTGACCTGGGGTGGGACTTGACCTCCCTTGCTTGATGCTCTCCAGTGCTGTCTGGGTCCTGAGAACTGGGCTTTGTGATCAGTGGGATTGGACTCAGTCCTCACTGGCATTCCTTTGACCTAATCACTGCCCCAGGACTGCAGATGTGGGCCGAACCTGAACCTGAGTTTTGTTCATCCCTCTCCGCTTTTCCTTAGCACTTAATACTGAGGCCGAGTCTTGCCTCGATGAAGTATATTTTAATTCTTCTGCACTGTGATATGAGTGGCTACAAGTTCTTTATCAAAGAACAGGTCCAGCCTGAGGAGAGTTGTGCAAACTTCCATTTGACACCGTCCCTTGTCCCCAGCTCCATAAGGGTGTCTGGTAAAAGTACAGTGAAGGCCTTGGGCTCATCACCCTCCAAGTTTGGCTTTGCCTTATTACTTTAAGATTTGATAAGAGCATTTCTGAAATCTGTCTTGATACCTTGTGCCTGAACTAAAATTAAGAAGCTTAGAGTTAGGGGTGGTAAATAGAAAATTAAACACCATGCACAGGACTGCTGTTTTCCTTTCCTCTAGGAGAGTGATTTTCAAACTTGGAGCAGGATCCACAGTAAGGAACACACTTTACATCCCTGCGCAGAAGTCCCCAACTGCGATCAGTTCCAGGAAACAGTTGCCCTTACTACCTGCAGGGTGCTCTATTTATAATTTTTTTCTACTTAATTAAAAAATTTGTCTACTTAATAAAAAAACCAGCAGTCACAACTGCTGGTTATGACCCATTAATTTGATTTCTTGACCAAACTGCTCAAGGCCTGCAGTTTAAGAAACATTGCTCTAGGGCAGAGGTCCTTACACTTAATGTGCATAAAGATGACCTGGGTAGTGTTTAAAAATGCAGTTTGTCAGTCCACTCTGGAGATGTTTCTTTCCAGTGGGGCACGTTTTTAATAAGTGGACCATGAGATTGTGATGCAGGTGGTTGATAAGAAACCCTCCTCTAGTGGGAATTGGGAGCAATGAACAATGAAAAGCTTTAACTTGGATAGGAAGCTTTAGGTGTGTGACCCACACTCTGTGCAAACCCAAGATCACTCATCTGCTGGTCACACTAGCCTGGGCTTTGAAAAGTCTAAGGGTCTGGTGTTGGCTTTAACTGCCAGGAAGCCTTGGCCGTAAGAGACAGATCCCCTACACCACTCCAACCCAGCCCACCTGAGAGCTGCTGATCACTGTTCTGTGCCACTGGATGTTTCTAGATGCATGGGGTTAGGGTTGTGAGTAGTGCTAATGAGTTAGCTGTACTGTGCCCAGATACTTGAATTTTCACTGTTTTAATGATTTTAAGGCAGCAACGCAGCCATTGTGCCTGGGATATTGACAACTGGTTAACAGAAAAGGTTGATTTTGTTTAATGTCTGGGTATTTCAGGCTGTGTAGCCTGGGGGAAGGGCAGGTAGGTGATTTTATTTTTGTTTGAGGGTGGTGGTGGGGCGTTGTCAAGGCTTGTCTGTCAACGGTCATTAATGAGAAGAGGCACAAGGTCCCCTATCTCCTTGCCTACCTCAGCCCTGGTTCTTTCCTGTGGTGACAGCTCCGCTCCTGTGTGCTGTTTAGATCTCGTTAGTCATCCAGTGTCTGATGCTGTTACCTCCATCTCTATCTTTAAGCACAAACATACACACATCTAAATGCATCCACATGTTGGATGTTTCTTATTGTGCCCAAACATGTCGGTAAAAGAAATTTCCTTAGTTAATCAAAGCTGCAGTTTAGCTTCAAAAGAACCCTATTACATTATTCAGATTCAACTATGGTCCTCCCTGCCAAGGGTATGCCTTATATGAGAACATTAACTGTAGGATTGTTGGAATTAACTTTAATGATGCTCAATTTGGTCAAGCAGCTCCCAATTAGCATGTTTAATTTTCAGCCTATGGAAAAAAGAAAGGAACAAAAGGATGGCAACTGATAGGATATCCTAGGATAGGAAAAGCAGAGGAAAGAGATATTCAGGTGGGATTAAAATGGAGGACCAGGGTCACTTTCCTTTGTCTATTATCCTGGCATTTCCTTAGAGTCACTCGACCAAATCACTAAGGTGCTCTGACCATTGCATTCCCGTAGCTTGAAAGGGATATTAAGCTCCGGAAAACAAGCATCTTTTTTAAATTTAGCCTCCAGTGATGGAAAGCCAGGGCCTTTCAGGCTAAAGGTATTTTGTAAGAGTTGGTAGTTTTCAGTGACATTATCCTTCACAAAAGGTGATGGTACTTTATTTTCATCCTAAGGGACCACACCTGCCTGAATTTCCCTGGGAGCTATGAAGGGAGCCCTGGAAGATTTAAAAGTAACTCGGATTATGCTACTCCCCTGTTTACAACTTTCCAATGGCTTCCCATTGCCCTTCAAACATAACCTAACTCCTTTCCAAGCAGGACTTGTCCTCTCTCTCCCAACCTCTCACACCTCATCTCCTTCCAGTCCTTACCTGATCCACCTTGCTTCCTTCTCCTCCCACTGCTCCAGCCTTCCTGAGATTTCTGAAATGGGGAAGGTTTGTTTTTGTCCTTGGGCCTTTTCTACTGGTAGTCTCTTTTTCCCAGAATGCCTTTTCTGCCAAATTTTTGCATGATTGGCTTCTGTCACTTGGGTGTCAGAGAGCCCCTCCATGACCTGTTATCTAGAACAGTTCCTCCCCTCCCTGCCCCTCAGCCTCTCTTAATCCCTTTAACTTTATGTTTTTTCAAATCACTCTAATGCCATCTGGAAATACATTGTCTACTTGATGGCTAGATTAGAAGCTTGAGAGCTTTTCTGTCTTGCTCATTTCTGACAGTGCCTGGCATGGAGTAGCACTGAAGAAAATATCTCTCTGTTGTTGGAATGAATGACTGACTGACTGAATGAATGAATGAATACAGAAAGCCAAGGTTCACAGTCTGTAAGAGTAGGAAATATTACTTTATTTTCAAGAGAAGAAGAGGAAAACATTTTTTCTCTTCCTTTTCCTGAGATGGGGTAGTGTTCCTTTGGGATTTCTGCTTTTCACAATATTTTTCATCCTTTTATTCTTTTTATAGGTTGCCAAAGTCGCTAAAAACTCCATTGTATTTTCCTGTTGTTAATGAATAACTCTTTCTTCCTCCAGTATTCTTATTCTAGGACTCATTGTTCTGACAAACAAGCATTTTTACCAGTAATCACATTTCATTAATACTAGGAGGCACTGTAAGTAGGGGTTAAGAGGCTGGGCTTTAGAACCAGAAAGACCTGGGTAATTAGCTCTGTGACCTTGGACAGTTTGCTAACATTTTCTGAATCTCTGTTCCTTATTGTAAAATGGGACTGATAATACCGGGGGTGCCAAAAACATGTATACACATGACTCGTATTCATCTTTTGTGATCGGTATATATTGAGTATTACAATTTTAATACAGTTTTTTTCCTTTCTTAAAACGTGTATGCATTTTTCGGGCACCCTTTGTAGTTAGTGTCGCACAGGATTGATGGGAGGATTAAATGAGAGAATGCACAGAAACCTGGCATAGAGCCTGCTGCATAAGCAAGCACTTGGTGGTAGCTATTAAAAACAACATAAATATTAATAGTTAGATTCTCCTTCTCTCTGACTGGCAGGAATTCCCAACCCATTGATTTGGGAATGGACAGTAAGAGGCGAACACTTCCAATTTGGTTGACTATTGACCTAAGAAGTCCAAACCTCTACAGAATTTTTATGAGTTTTATTTGAACCAAGGAAGAGTACATGGAAGTGGGAGAAAGCAAGGCAGGGATTAGATTACAGGGTAAATAACAAGATTGTGTGCTCTCTTGAAGAAGGCAATTGCACTCATTTCAAAGGTATGTTAACCTAGATGCCCGAGAAGAATGGACAGGGCTTGCTTTAGGCAATCCTTAGATAAACCTTTTACTAAAAAAGTTATATGCCTGGGGCATGACTACCCACCATGATCTTCCCAGTTAGGAATTTATGATCAGATCATCCTGTGAGGTTATTTAGAACTCCTTTTACGTCCACAAAATCATAAATTACTGTAAGTAAATGAAGGCCAAAAATGTTGCTTGGATCTATCAGACCTGAAATGGAATTTAGACATGCGCAAGTCTTCATAAACATCCATTGAAAGGGAATATTTATAGAAACTTTTGGAAGGACATATTGTC